AAAAAAAAAAAAGCGAAGCAGTCGTCGGCGGGACTCGAACGCACGCCGCCGGCGCAAAAATGTATGGACGGGAGCCTTAGTCGGCTCAGCTACGCCGCTTATTCGAAAAAGATTCTAATGTTCTTCTTTACATGGGACATAGTTGCGTGACCCTAACTTTGTTTTGTAATTTCTCCTAAACGAAGGCCCATTGGCACAAACGCCTTTAGGGTTTTTATTAGCTACATGTAAGCTATCGAACGCACTATGACTCGTTGGAAAAGCGATTTCCTAATTGGCGTCATCTCCTTGTCAGTGTTGGAGACTCGGTTGGAGGTGGGCTGCCATATTATTGGATACGGTGACGATACTCTGGTGGTGGCCACTGCGATGACTGTTGAAAGCGCCAGTGCCAACATGCAGACGGCAGCTGTTGTTCACAAGGTCGAACAGCTTGGGCTTACAGTCGCAGCCCATAAGATAGAAACTATTCTGTTCCATGGAGGAAGAAAACCCCTGCTTTTCCCTGAGATCAGGGTAGGACACATCCAGGTAGCCGGCACCCTCAAATATCTCGGGGTTATCTTGGATAATCGCTGGAAATTTTATGACCACTTCCGCTATGTAGCAGCAAAGCACAACAGGGTGGCCTAATCATCTGCTGCTGCTATCCGTGCAATGGTTTACAAGTAAAAGGGGGGTTGAGGCAGAGAGATCATTTATTGCTATTGGCTGGGTTTCCAGGTCCCGAAGCCTACTTCTGATGGGTTGGGCAGCGGGGTAAGATGGCTGACTTTCCTCTGCTGTAATTAGGCTAGGAGGGGTGTACTTTTGTACTGGATTGGGAAGCGTCCCGAATGTTATGCTATGCAGTTTTCGGGGCGTTCCTGGGGTGACGGTCGAGGCAGGACGCTCGGTGGGGTTTTAGTCGGTGAGAGTCCGACATAGTCTCTGACCTTACCCAGAAGGTCGGAGGTATGTATAATGCATTTCCCCATCATCAACAAAAAAAAAGTAGCTTATAAACATGGATGGCTGTGTTATCGCAGTTGTGTTTTTCATTTATTTTATCTAAGCAAGATATGCATTGTTTATGAATTAGCTATACGAGAATTTACAAGAGCGAAATCGAGGTTGAAGTAGTACCTGTGTATGTATGGGTGGAAGCGTATGTGCGTGTGTGTATTCAGCGCCTCGGTTGCATGCCAATCCTTCCTAACTTAATGAATCAATGAGTTAATTTTAGTCTTGTTCACAGTCATTCAAACACAACGACGGCAATAACGCAGAACAATGGAAAATAGAAACACGAAACATCGTTCTCTGTGTTCGTGGCTTCGCAACAGAGATTGTTTATTACAATCGATTAAATAGACTGTGTGTGAGAAAAACGTTTTTAAATATATGTATCATTAAGTCATACACACAAGAGATTATCCTATAGCGACAATATTTTGTCTCATGACAAATATTATTATTACTTATTACTACTTACTCGTCTGACTGTCGACATTGAATCATTTTTTATAATTACACACGTTCGTATACAGCGACAATATCGTAATAACTGTATTATCATAATACTCTTAACCAATGAATCCTTAACGATCAAAAACTTACATCATATAAAACATCGAGAAAAAGTGTATGTTCTCGTTATCACTTTGATCCAGTCTACCATTTGTCTCTGAAGACGATTCTAAAAATTAGTGTTACTTATTGCAAAAATCGTTTGTTTTCTAAATGTTGTAGGCGCTGAAGTCTTTAGCAGGAAGGAATTTTGCAAGAAGATCTTTATTCGAGTTTAAGAAAAAGAGTCCGTCCAAGATATGAGGTAAAGCATGTCTCAGAGAATAAGTGAAAATTATGTTTTTTTAGATTCATATAGAGGATGTTATCTTTCCTTCACCAACTAAGTATATAGTGTTATTCCTTGTAAAAAATTAAATCAGAAAGTCTTAAGCCATTTTTTTCTATAATGTTTAATAAATCTGTTATTCTTAAATAAAGCTCAGCTAATCAGCGCCGTCCTTTAGACTATGAGCCGTGCATCTGACAGTTTGCATGAGCGCTTCGCTGTTATTCCGCCGCTGTCAGGCGCCGCTGTCAGGTTCACAGACATGCGCCCGTCTAAAGGACGGCGCTGATTACCTGAAATTTATTTAAACATAACTGCTTCATTAAACATAGTAGAAAAAATGATTCAG